TTGGGGAAGTCTAGCAGCGGAAAATGACGAGGAAAACAAAAGGAGGTTAGATTTGTTTGGCTTACTTTTTATTTTCGATTACGATGATACCATACGGACGGGGTAGTCACCACAGGACCATTAATCACGCACGCACGCACGCACGCACGCACCTACACACACACACACACTCACGAACCCGGGAGCCTCCCTCGCAAGACACCTATTTGTATATCTTATCATGACACAGCAGCATTATTGCCTCAAACAACGCAGAGTAAGGCAAGGCTGACAGAAAGGAGTTGGCTGCGGTGCCTGTGGCGAGCGAACCGTCATTTTTTTGAGAGTCTATGGCTGAAGGTAATTATAGGGCCGGTTTTTTTCCTATCTTTGTTTTTGGTAATATGGCGGGGCGAGAGGAGGAAGGGACATGGGTAAAGGAAAAGTTTTATATTTTTCTCTGACATATTTTTTTTTGGAAGGGAAGACATGGGTGAAGCGATTTTTTGGGTTGATCATGCATAGCAGTGGAAGTCGGTCAGACAATATTCATTGCCAAGGAAAAAGGGGACACTATATCTTATCCTTCTTTCTTTTGTTTGGGTCTTATACATCATTGCAAAGGCGTGGGAGAGAATGGCGTTTGGTTTTTGACTTTCTTTTCCTCCTTATTCTTTTCGAATCCTCTGTCTCGATTCGTTTCGGGCAATCTGTACGTAGCTTTTTGTATCTTTTTTTTTTATATGCTCTGGCTTGGTGAACGGTGGTAACTTGGTGGTTCACGGCTTTAGCATAGCAGACGGCTGGGAAGTTATTTTCTTTTGTTGTTTTACTTGGGGGAGGAGGGGGGGGGGGCGCAAGCTTCCTGGGGGGAAGGAGGGTTTGTGGAGGAAGGGGTGGGGGAGAAAGGGCCAGAAAGGGCTGTGGTTTGCTCGGTCGGCTTGGGGTGGAGGAAGTCACGAGCAAGATGGAAGTTGTGACAGCGGGTTTGGGAAGAGGATTTGTATCTGATGGAGAGAAGTATGGGAACTGGAAAATCGAGATCTGGTGTATGATGTGTATAGATTGGGGATTGTGTTGTGTATGATGGATGTTTTGAGGGGGGGATTATAGTCGGTTTCTAGAAACCAAAGACGAGGTGTTTATTTATGATGCCCTCGAAAGACAATAAATAGTTGTGATACCCTTTTATATGAGATTTGACGTTTTAATCACATGTGCGAATATGAAAGTGATTTATCAAAAGATGAGAGTCAATTCTCAATTCTTGTGAATCTTGTCCCCTGGAAATTCCCCGCAAACCTTGGCATTTGGACTAACGATATTGGGGAGATGGTTCATGCAACCAACCGGACGGGTTAGGGTTATTTGGAGGAACTAACGTTATTTGGCTTCGGGTGCCTGTTCTGCGTTGCTTTCGCCAACCACTTTTCCTTTTGTCACTTGAACAAACACTTCCCACACTTCGTATCACAAGAGCGTGAGAAAGTGGACAAAAATATTCGTATAGGTGGCAATATTTTTAAGATTACGTTCGTGGTGCCTGACGTTTGTTTTCTCTTCATTTAATTATATGCAAGATGAGATGATGGGATTCAGCGACCTGGTTGGCCTGGCCTGGCGGTTCGGAGCAGCACAAGTTCACAACCAATCCGAAAGCGAGTTCTGCAAACAAGCGATATCTCTGATCCCTTCAAGGTAACAGCCGACGATCCAATGAGCATCGCCGCGTGACCCTCCACTGTTGCGACGTCATTACAAGCAACTTTCTGTGCCTCCCCCGCAACCCGACTGCAACTCTCTCGACGGAAATGGTTTTATTGTTGAGTTTTTTGAGGAATCCAATGGGATTATCTGGATTGGATGTATTGGATTGATATACCATGTGATGCCGAGATTGGACCACTGGGACATGCAGGGCAATGCGGTCAAGTTATAATGTACCCGTTGAAGGCCACGGGTACAACGGGCTATGTATCGGTCGGAGCACCCTCCGCGAAAAAAGGGGAGATTAGCCCAACTTGTTCCTGAATGACAAGTCGGAACTAGATCAGGAGGGAAACAATCATGGCCTGTCATTCAATCAGTGTAAGCATCCTCCTGGCTGATGATTTCTCTGTCAAACTTCTACACAAGGCCTCCCACTTCTTCAAAAGCCAAGTACACCATGTATCACACGCCAAAAGCTAGTAACACCGTCGCGTTACATTTACCAACATGGGTCTTGGATCATAAAAGGAAACCATGACCGATCGACACTTGATTTGATATCCCAGAATCCTACCTTGTGTGTATCCAATATTGGCTTTTTTTAAGCGGAGAAGCTAATCTTGGGGTCCTGGGAGGTGACCTTCTTCCCAACAGGTTTAAATAGTCAATGGTTTTATCCTTCTCCGCCTCACCTTGACCCTTAATCCCTTTCGCCTTTTCAGCAAAGGGCTTCGAGTCATGGCCTCTTCATTTCATTCCTCCTCTTCCTCCATCTCCATCATGTCAACTTTGACATTCTTCCTCTTTGCCATTCTGGGCCTTGCTCAGATGGTATCTGCAGTTCCCAGCAGTCAATCAAAGCCCAGAGCCGCTGCCGGCGACAAATATTTACTCGGTGTTGGAAAAGCAGACATTACCGGCCCGGTTGTTGAGATCAACTTTGCTGGCTACGCCAACAGCGAGCAAGTGGGAAGCGGCGTTCGTCAGCGCATCTATTCGCGTGCTTTTATCATTGGAGAGGTTGATAATCCCAGCAATCGCTTCGTCTATCTTATTTTGGATACACAGGCTGGAGACACTGCCGTTCGGAGAGGCATTCTTGAGGGAGTGGCTGCTCTTGGCTCGGCGTATTCTGTTTATGGTCGGTCGAATATTGCTGTGACTGCTACGCATTCTCATAGTGGTCCTGGTGCTTGGTTTAATTATTTGCTTCCGCAAATCACGAGCTTGGGGTTTGATAAACAGTCTTATCAGGCTATTGTGGATGGGGCGGTTTTGTCTATTAAGAGAGCTCATGAGTCTCTTCAGGAGGTATGCAGTTTCTTTCTTTTGGGTTTTGAAGATCAACTGCTAATCTGATTCGCTTTAGGGAATTCTGGACTTTGGCACCACAAGAGTGGAAGACGCCAATATTAACCGCAGCTTATACGCTTATCTCACGAACCCCGAATCCGAAAGGGCTCAGTATCAAGACGACGTCGACAAGACATTGACTCTGTTGAGATTCAAGCGGGCATCAGACGGCAAGAATATTGGCGTAATCACCTGGTTCCCCGTACATCCTACTTCCATGCTCGGCAACAACACGCACGTCACCGGCGACAACAAAGGTCTAGCAGCTTATCTCTTCGAGAAATCAGTCAAGGGCGACAGTCTCGCAGCCGATGGTTTTGTTGCAGGCTTTTCTCAAGCCAACGTCGGCGATACCAGCCCCAATATCCTCGGTGCATGGTGCGATGATGGTTCTGGTCAACAATGCGACTTCAAGACGAGTACTTGCGCCGACGGAAAATCTCAATCCTGCCACAGCCGCGGTCCTTTCTTCTGGAAACTCGATCTAGGTGTTTCCAGCTGCTACGATATCGCCGCTAAGCAATTTTCGGGGGCTAAATCTCTCTACAACTCCTTGGATTCCACTTCAACTCCAATCACTGGCCCAACTGTCAGATCCTTCCATTACTTTCAAGACATGCGATACTATACTTTCCCCCTCGAAAACGGCACCCAAGTCCAAACCTGTCCCGCAGCACTCGGACATTCCTTCGCAGCCGGCACAGCAGACTGGCCCGGAGCCTTCGATTTCACCCAAGGGGACTCTGGCGCCCCCAATAATCCCTTTTGGTCCGTAGTCGGTGGTCTACTTAAAGTCCCCAGTCCCCAACAAAAAGCCTGTCAGGGAGCCAAACCCATCCTACTCAACGTCGGCGAGATGGAAACCCCCTACGCTTGGTCCCCTAATATCGTCGACGTCCAATCCTTCCGCGTCGGACAGTTCCTGATCATCGTCTCTCCGGGCGAAGCCTCAACTATGGCAGGCAGACGCTGGCGAAACGCAGTAAAATCAGCCGCTTCTCAATTATCTCTAACCGGAGGTGTCGAACCCTATGTCGTTTTAGGCGGACCGTCAAATACTTATACTCATTATATCACCACTCCAGAAGAGTATAATATCCAACGATATGAGGGAGCAAGCACCATGTACGGTCCTTTTACCCTTCCGGGATATATCAACCTCACTCTCAAGGCACTCCCCTACTTATCCCCCTCCGCATCCGGTGCTCCACCTGCTGGTCCATCCCCGCCTGATAATCGCCAAAGAAGCATAAGTTTCATCACTGGTGTAGTATTCGATAATACACCCATCGGACAGAGTTTTGGATCAGTAACTAAACAACCATCATCTACCTACGCTCGCGGAGCAGTTATCAATGCAACATTTACTGGAGCAAACCCAAGGAATAATTTGAGATTGGAAGGGACATTTGCCGCTGTTGAGAAGTTGGAAGATAACACATGGAAACAGGTTTTAAATGATGAGGATTGGAGGTTAGTTTATACATGGACTAGAACGAACGGGGCTTTGGGATATAGTAGTGTGACGATTAGCTGGGAGACGAGTTTGACGGAGGATGTTCCGGGTACGTATAGGATTAAGTATTATGGGGATTCGAAACCTTTGATTGGGAGTGTTAAGGCGTTTGTGGGGGTTAGTAATAGTTTTACGGTTGTTTAAGGGGGGGGGGGGGGGATGGTATGATGAGATGATATGGATTAATGATTTGGATCATTTGGTATATAATGCATGAGAATTAATTGTATGAAGTAATTTTTTTTTGTCATGGGGTCTGCAGTTGTTGTTTAGGTTGGTGGTCTGGTTGATGATGAGGAACTAAATGGATAGCAGGCTTGAGCCAAGCACACCCTAATACAAAGAACAAAAACATGAGTAAAAAAAAATATTCCAAGAGTTTTAAACACTGAGGTTTATGAGAGGAAAAAGATAACATATGAAAAAAAGAATGAAAAAAACATGGGCGACCCCGGAATCGAACCGGGGTTTCTTCGGTCGTTGTTATCAAGATTTGACTCTTGAACCACAACGAAGCGTCCTGACCACTAGACTAGTCACCCTGTAAATACGGCATCTCTTTTAGATGAAATCCGTCTTCTTTTAATGTTATTATATATGCTTGTGCGCGCCACCACCCATTTTTTTTCTTCAGCCGTTTCCTTTTTTTTCCTTCCATCAACTTTTGTGATGGTTTTTTATAATTTTTTTTTTCTTGGATTTCTTTTTGTTCTCTTCTTTTTCTTCCTCTTACTGTGACGGCAAGTGCGATAGAGATTTACTATATTTCTTTGATATGAAAAAATATGTGCAAAAGGGATTTTAGTAAGATATCGGGCATCTAGGTGTTCTTAGAGTCTTTGAGTCTATATTTAAGTCCCTCTTGGGTTGCATCTGTTTCCAGAAAATATTTTAGTTGTTAGTTCCTTTTAGTTACAATTTTCTTTGCTACGGATTGAAGAAGAGAGAGTTGGGAAATAAATTGGTGGGGAGAAACTGAAAAGACTAAATCGTTGTTGCGTGTAGAATAAGAGCAGGTGAGTCGTAGCAACCGATTGTTCTAGTAAATGGTTTTTGAGCTTGTAGACACTGGCTTGACATAAATAGAAGTGTCGAAGAATGGTGCAAACCTTGGAAATCACATATTGTAAAACTCATGCCTCCTTCATATTATTCTTGACATGACATTGATGAGAAATTAAGGAAAATTAATGTCTAAAGCCCAATCTATCAAAATTGGACGCCAAAAGATGGAATAGCGAAAAGAATCTCGAAAACTCATGCTCAACCGCTGGCACCGCCAAACACCCTCACCCCAAACTTCCAAACCTCATCAACACGCAAATGCCTCTTTCCCCCAGAAATGTCCTCCGACAAAACAACTAAATCAGCATCAGTCCCTGGATCCAAAACACCTTTAACCCCCTTCAGACCGAGCATAGCAGCCGGCGTCGCCGTAACAGTCTTCAATCCCTCCGGGATCGAAGCTCCCGACCATTCCAAAAAGTTATTAACACACTCAATGAGAGTGATTGAACTTCCGGCAATCGTCCCCTTACCCTCCAACTGTAGTTCCCCTCCTTTCTTCACAATCCAGTCCTTGCCCCGTCCATTCAACCACTCATATCTCCCATCCGGCAATCCAAGTGTATGCATGGCATCTGTAACGAGGATAAACCCGTCTGGGTGGGCATTCCAAGCAATTTTGACGGTTGTAGGATGCAAGTGGATTCCATCAGCAATCACACCAAAGTATGGTCGGGGGAAGTTGCTGTCAGGGACAGTGCCTAGCACGCCAAAGATTCCAGGGTTACGGTGGTGTAAGGGCCGCATGGCGTTGAATAGATGTGTGATCATGGTTGCTCCGGCTGAAACGGCGGCAGATGCTTCCTCAAAGGTCGCTTCAGAGTGGCCGATGGAAACCACGATACCGTTGGAACGGAGGCCAGGAATTATTGAGGGTGTTGTTTGACCGAGTTCGGGGGCGAGAGTGATCATCTTGACTGGCAATGATACAGAAGCTGATGGTGTAATATTAGCGGCGCCATAAACGTTTTCGAGGTCCGAATAAGTTGAAGGAGTCTGAAGAACGGAGATATCGTGAATGCCATTCTTTGTTCGACTAATAAATGGTCCCTCGACGTGAGCTCCTAGAGACTCGGACCCGGCTGAGGCGAGGCGAGATGAGCCAGATGGAGCAAGATAAGGAAGAACCTAGGTATTGAGTGAGTGAGAGGCCCTTAGCATCAGGATGTAAACAAACTTTGTGGTAGAGATCCCTCGTTTGGCTTGTGACGGTGGGAACGTAGGATGTAACTCCAGTCTCAACCAATTTCTTGTTTAAAGCTCGAAATTGTTTCCCATATTCTGACATATCATTCATGAGAGTAGAAAAGTTGAAGCCAAAAGCTCCGTTTAGCTGACAGTCAATGAAGCCTGGAGATATGATTCGCCCACCAAGATTGATGGTTTGATCAGGCGTGATGAACTCATCGTAGAAGGCCACTTGGCTCTGAAGGATCTTTCCAGTGACGGAGCTGACCCAGACATCTTCCCAAACAAGGGAGTCGCCTCGAACTAATCGGCAGTTGGTGAATTTGGTGACGCTCGGTTGGGGGAGTGTCGGTCTAAGTGCGGAGGGCATGGTTCAGGCGGGATGTGGGGATAAGTATTATTGTCTATGGGAAGAGACATAGACTGTGCGGCCCGTGAACGACATTTCAAGACACTCAATATATCAGGAACCCAGCCTTAACCGACGATATCTGACTCGCTGTCACAAATCAAGCTTACGTCGATAACCGGGCCGTGTACAACTTGATCCGAGGCCTTGGAAGCGAAATTGATCACAAACGGAATGACGATCCATGTTTGACACAGACGTTCGACCTCCATCATCGTCTCTGAGCCAACCATCTCGGCATGGCCAGAGATAGTGAAAGATATGGAGATAGGTGTGTTCCATCAACGGCAAAGGTGTGATGGTGCCACAAGGTAGGTTGCACCGTACAAGGTGTTGTTCAGACTTGTTCTGCAGATGATAATTGTAAAAAGTTCAAAAATCCCCAATCTGAGAAAGTAATTGTGTGTGAAACATGTAACGTTGCTGGATTGAAGCTAAACCCAAAGGCATCATATACCTGCCCGATTGAGTTAGAGTATAGGTGAAATTACATATTCCTTCAAAAATAATAAGCTTCAGGTGTCCCATTGGTCCGCCAGGAGTTGCATGACCAGATAAGTTTCCCCGGGCCGAATCACACTCATCTGCAACTTCCCCAGGTGTGTAGCCAGACAAATCGAGACCGGGCCGGCTGTTTCCATTCAAGCAGGCATCTTCAATGTGGGGGGTGTTTTGTTGTTACACCTGCCCGCAACATCTGTTACACTTCTCCACTGCTCAAGTTCCCAGCCTGATGCGTGCAACTTATACCAAAAAACACATCATCCATCAATCAAGAAACATGTCTTTCTGATAACCAGTTAGGCACATTCAACATGGCCAAGTTAAACGGGGATCTGGACCCACTGTTCCAGGACCTTGACTGGTACGTTTCTAGGTTGGGTTTGGTTAATGAGTGTGTTTTGCGATACTGACTCTCTTATTTTTTTCCAGGGCCATTGGACAGATGCTGATTATGGGATGGGATGGCACCGAGGTTACGCCCCAGATACGTAACCTTATTCAAGACCACCATATCGGGTCCATCCTTTTGACTGCGAAAAATCTCAAATGTAGCCTTTCGCCCTTCTGCTCTGGTGGGCAAATACAACGTATCTTTGCTGACCCTCTCCACTAGCCGCCCAGCAAACTGCCAAACTCGTTCAGGAGTTGCAAGCCCTCGCCCACCAATCCGGTCATCCCCAACCATTGTTGATCGCCTTGGACCAGGAAAATGGCGGCGTTAACAGTCTCTACGATGAAGACTACATCTGCCAGTTCCCTAGCGCCATGGGCCAGGCTGCTGCTGGAAACGCCGACCTGGCATACAAGGTCGCCAAGGCCACGGCAACCGAAGTGTCGGCAGTTGGTGTTAATCTCATTCTCGGCCCAGTCCTTGATGTTCTCACCAATGCGAGATATCAGCCTCTCGGTGTGAGAGCCACCAGTGATGACCCTCAGGAAGTGTCTCAGTACGGCATCGCCGCCATGAATGGCTACAAGGACGCTGGCGTAGCAACCTGTGGAAAACACTTTCCCTCGTATGGAAATTTGGATTTTCTTGGTTCGAGTTTGGATATACCCATCATCACCCAGACCCTCGAGGAATTATCTTTGAGCGCACTTGTTCCCTTTCGCAATGCCATTTCTACAGGCAAGCTGGATGCCATGTTTGTCGGTGGTTGTGGCATTACCAACCCATCCATGAATGTCAACCATGCTTGCCTGTCTGACCAAGTTGTGGACGATTTACTCAGGAATGAGCTGGGTTTTACGGGAGTTGCAATATCCGAGTGTCTTGAAATGGAGGCTCTGCGCAACGAAATTGGTGTCAAGACAGGTACCGTCATGGCGGTGGAGGCTGGCTGTGACCTGGTACTGCTTTGCCGTGCTTACGACGTTCAGCTTGAAGCAATTTCAGGGCTCAAGCTGGGTGTTGAAAACGAATTGTTGACCAAGGAGCGCATCTACACTTCGTTAAAACGTGTTCTCAGGATGAAGAGCTCCTGTACCTCCTGGACAAAAGCGCTTAATCCTGCAGGCATCTCTCTGCTGTCCAAAATTCACCCGAGCCACCATGCGCTCTCCCTGAAGGCCTATGACGATTCAATTACAGTGATAAGAGACAACGAGAAGTTGCTCCCACTCAACGTGTCGATGCACCAGGAAGAGGAGCTCCTATTACTGACGCCACTGGTCAAACCTCTACCTGCATCTTCAATGACGAAGAGCATTCTCGAGTACAAAAACAGGTCGGATACTGCGCCATCGATGCATGACAAATGGATACATCGGGACAGGGGCGTCATTATGAGTGGCGAAGGTGTTTTCAGAGAACTTGGGAGGTCCCTTGCACGTGCAAGACACGGCAAGCTGTTGCACACATCTTATACAGCAAATGGGGTGAGGCCAGGTCAGTTACTCTCTCTCACCCGCAGCCTCACTGAGTATTAACATCATTATAGTTCACGAAAACCTTATACATCGTGCATCTTGCATAATTATTGTAACGGCAGATGCAAACAGGAACTTGTACCAAGCAGGGTTTACCAAGCACGTCTCCATGATGTGTTCGATGCTGAGAGCAACTGGTCAGAAAAAGTCTCTTGTCGTGGTTGCGGTCAGTTCTCCATATGACTTCGCCATGGACAAGACAATCGGCACTTACATATGCACATTTGACTTTACCGAGATGGCGATGGCTGCCCTGGTAAGGACACTTTGCGGTCATATCAAGCCTCATGGTTCACTCCCGGGCACTCTACGTAAGAGCAGAAAAGTCGTCAAGTCAAGACAGCATTGGCTTGTAGAGGCATATGAGAGAGCCCGCGATGCCAAAGGTCTCAATGATCTTTTGCAATCTCTCGCCAGGGCCAGCACTCCAGCACATAGTTTCTTGAA